AGCTTGTTAACGTTACTCTACCGACACTCATACAAAAATCTGCTTAGAACACAACAGTTGGAAATGGACTAAAAAAAAAGAAAAAAAATACAACAAAAATAAAAACGAATTTCTCTCCATAGGAAAAAAACATAAAATATAATAAATGAAACCTTTTCGAAACGAATATTTATAGTTTTCCATGTGCGAGGTCTTCTTTTACTTTCCCACTCAAATTATAAGCCCTACTATGTGTGTATTACTCAACGTGTACATACATATACGTGTTTATATACATATATACATGTAGATTGCAAGTCTACTTACTTGCTGTGGTATGTTTTTTGGGTACACTTCAAATGGATTAGTATTAATACTCTTTCTATTCGTTAGCATTTTGATTTTGTTGTTGCTATTATTGGAGTTGTTATAATTCCTCATTCAGTCAGTATGGTCACCAGTGGTGGAGTTATATTATGATTTTGTGTATACGATAATCTTAAGAGTTTTAATAGAAGGTTTTTACATAAACAGCGACCATTATATCAGATGTTTGTTTTCACTTGGTCGACCAGCATTAAAATAGTACTGTAAATTATATATATATATATATATATATATATATATATATATATATACGAAATTTAGATTAGTAATGTTATGTAGAAGCTTTTCCATCGATAAAATAAATAATTAAGACAATTACAAGTTTACTAATCGTAATACTATGCGGCTGTAATAGCAACTTTCTATTTTGAAATGATTCGCGTGAAGCACTCCTTCAGGGTTTTTAAGACAATCTACAGGCGATAGTCAGAACCTCGAATTTCAGCTTATATTTCAGTCGAAAAATATAAACCAATCATAAAAAAAAATTTTATTTGGAAATTAGGTACTCAGGCGGCATTCACTGATCCTATAGCTAAATTCATTTTAAGTTTGGATTGTCATTGTACATAAGCAATAAAGGCTTCACGCTTCATTTTCATAGGAAACATGAAAATCGATCAGGTGCGCGAAAGAAGTTAAGTCGCAGGCACTCAAATTCACGTCCGCTTGCGGTATAAGCGGATGTATGCAACATCCCGAGGAACTTGCTATAAATCCAATATTTTATTGGACATGTCTGTGTGCCCATCTGGTCGTCTCTTTTCTTTTTAGATATATCGATTAAATTCGGTAGGTTGACGTAATTTGTCTCAAGGATGTACGTTATCAAAAATGGTTCAGATCGGACCACTTTTTCAGTTCCCGTATAGAGCGGTTTTTTCAAAAGTCGTTACATGAACAGCGGTAAGACGGTGTAGGGTATTTTATGACTGCCCACTGCTCACGGCCCGCAATTTTGTATTTATTTTCTTGAGTTCATATTATGACATATGTCTTGTTTTCCTCTCAAAGGAAAGATGACGTGGTCAAAAGAGTAAGGAAGTTAGAATCAAGTAAAAACCGTATACCCTTTGTGCAAATATCATCTCAATCTATAACTTGTACTTGTATAACTTGTTCTTTAATTAGTTATGAACCATTTAATTGGTTGACCTTGCACGCTTCCGCTTATCCGCATTTTTATTAACTTAAGCCCGGTTTGCATAAGTTGAATAATCGGTTCCGATGAAAAAATAACCGAACAGCGTGCGCCAAATCTACGAAAATACACACGCGTTACAATAAGTCATATGTTAGGTCGGGGAAAAAAACGGGGAAAAAAGCAAAGAACGCGTACAATGCTGTTGTTCCGGTTGACAGCATTGATGATGAACGATATATATCGGTTATATGGTATTCTCAAGAAGTAAGCAACTACAGGGAAATTGGATCCGTGAAATATGTGATCTCAACAAAATTTGCACCGTATCACACGATCAGCGAAAGGATACTCTTTTCCGCAAGGGACATTGGAACGAAAAATTCGCGTCTTTTGCACGCGTCCTGCCACGTTCAATTTCAATTTCGTTCGTTCGCAAATCATGCCTCACAAAATCCTAACCTGACATTTTCATCCTAAAATGTCCATATTTAGTTATTTATGCTTATGTAATTGTAATTTTATTTGTGCAAACTTTGTAATTTCCACTTATCGAACGACCCATAGTTTGTCAAAACTAAATAAAAAATTTTGAATATATATTTTCGTACAGTCAATAATGTTGTTTTTTGAAGGAAATGTTAATTCTACAAAATTTTGAAGCAACTTCCTCTGAGAAATGTTTTGTATATTATATGAAATTTGATGTTTTGTCTCATCGTTCCAATGGACCAAGGTACGATTATAAATGAATGCGAAAGAGTAAATAAGTTTTTTTTAGGTTAAGAAAACTCTTTTAGAAAACATTTTCAATATCAAAATGACTTACTCAATTCGAATATTAGCGTCTACTTTTAACAGACTAATAAATGAAAAAGTTATCATTGGCATGCACTGTCTCTTTACTCAAACAACCTCATATCTCTTACCTTCTTCCCAAGGAAGTATATAAGGCTTTTTATATTAATTAACGCTTATATATAATACTGTACTGTATCGACATTTCGGTATGAGATGAGATGAGATGAAATGTTTCATATAAAAGTCTACACAAAAACTTAAAACGTGAACGAAAACCAGAGATCATGCTGTCTCTTTCACGAAACGAATATATGTATGAATGTAGTCATTTTTTGTCGATTGCGTTTTAAAGGATCTCAATATATAAGACCTACGGATGTACGCTTAAAAGCATATACGCACACATCTATCTTTATAATGTATATATATACATATATACATATGGATAATATCGTGTGTGCATCCTTTTTGACTATTCATATACAAGGAGTTTTCTTTAGTTTCTCTTGTTACTATGGTTGGTAAATGTTAGTATAGCTATATATATACTGAGATATGTATAGGTATAAGTTCATGTTCCTAGATTATGTTAGTTTTTTTTTTTATTCCATTCTGCCTGTTTTTTGGTTTCTCCAGCAACACAGCCTATATACAGATACGTGCTTGAATAGATTGGTCTGTGGGAAGCGGACATTTGGAAACATAAAAAAAATAAAAAAAAAAAAAAATAAAAAATTTGCAACCATATAGGTGTGCGTTTGTATAACTATTTTCATCTCTTTCTCAGGCTGCGTATACGATGTCCATGGTCACATATGTACATACGGTTACACATATGTGCAAATACGTATTGGCTTCTTCAATGCGAATACTCCTTCCATAGCAGGGTAAAATGCATATACGAACAACAAAATACAGTAATGCGCACCATTGTCGATTTGATGTAGTTTTTCTTTCTTCTCTTCTTTTTTGGAATTATTGGTTGATTGGCTTGTTAGGTGGTCAACAGTGGGAGACTAAATATTGATGATGTTTGCATGTGGCTGCTACAAAAACTATGCAACGTTTCTTCACTTTTTTGTTTTCAGTTTTCAGTTTTCAGTTTTTTTTTTTTGTTTTTTCTACGCTTTAGTGAACGGCACAGCATACAATAAAGGTAAGTGAGTGTTGGTAGATAGGAAAGGACAATCATCTGTAAATTTAACAAAATTTTATTGAAATTTAAGCAAAATTTAAGCTTTATTAGTTAATTTTTTTGCAATATGAATATCACATGTATTATATCTAGCATTACTGCTTAATAGTGAAAGACATAGTCATCGTAATGGGCCACGATCCATTATTAAACACTCTACACCATTTCGTTCGTCGTCGACCTTTCAAAATAATGTATTATATGGGAAATGATTGAAGAAGCGTTCGTTCGTGGGCAAAAACACATCGGTCTACCAAATTTTACCAACATATCTTAAATATAGGGGCCTGTAACTTGAACACAAGAGAACGATAGACCAGGTTGAATAATAAAACGTAAGTGTATTTCAAATCTTTTTTAAAAATTTCTCAATAATATCTATACAAGATCTTATCTTAGCCGATCATAGTTGATTTCTCCTTTCTAACACTGTTCTACATATATGCACTTTGGAATTCTTTCATTGATGAAAACCGCTAAACTACCGTAATTTTTAGTTGTATTTTGGTTACCGAAGATTCCATTCTTAAAGCATTAAGAGCAAAAGGTTTGCTTTATCTTTAGATAGGTCCAAGTCTCTAACTACATCGCCTAGTTTAATGTGACTAAGCTTTCGTGCGTCTAAAGACGAAGGATGATATAATTTCTCTCTTCCACAGTCATCGCCTATATCTCACTGCTGAGTGCATTCTTCCGGATGGAGTAGTACAAACAGACTGTCTTCATATGATACTGCGTGAATGGCTTATGCGGTGTTCTTTTTTCTTAAAATTCTATGCTAGATAGGCAGTATCAAGCAAAAGCGCGGTAATTGCATTCCATTCTCCATGGAGAGAAAACATCATCTCACCACACAAATCACAAAATTGTCGAGAGAGCTTTAAAAATTACGTGCCTGTAGGGATTTTATCCCACCTGAAATAAAAATAAAACCTTGATATTTTCTGAATAAATAGTATTTTAAATTTAACATACAAATTAAAAGAAACGAACCACTGGACCGGACCGCATTTACTCGCACTAACATTATTTCTATATGTACCGTACGTGTTTGGTAAAACATGCATATGCCTTTTTCTTGAGAAATGGCTGCTTGTTTCTTAAACACTATTTATTGTTACTATTATAATTTATCTGGATTAAAAAGCTTAAAAAAAAATAGGAGATTTTCAACAAATTTTTTTTTTAAGTAGTCTTCTTAATTTAAATCAATACAAAAAGTAGCATACATGACTGCGGGGATTATGCGCTGCGGACAGGATTCGAACCTGTGCGGGTAGAACCCAATGGATTTCAAGTCCATCTCCTTAACCACTCGGACACCGCAGCTTATCAGCGTTATCGGCAATGTCGGTAAATAAACTTTATGAGAAAACTTATAAAAACTAATATAAAAAGCAAACACGATAAATCAATTTTTTTTTGTAGTTGATCCAATTGCATATAGTAGTTAATTTTTTGAAAAGAAAACGCATATGGTTTTGCAAATAGAATAAATGCGTCGGCCGGGAATCGAACCCGGATCAACTGCTTGGAAGGCAACTATGCTAACCGTTACACCACCGACGCCGATTGCCCAGTCATCGTATCGACTAGTTTTGATTGCAACCAATTGATAAAATATATATATATATATATATATATGTATAAATTAATTTAATTGAAAGATATAAATTTATTTTTCTTAGAAAATACTTACTTTATGCATATATAGCTCTTTAACTGCTTGAAATAATATTGCATTTGCATATACAACAATGATTATACTTACAATACAAATATGACCGCGAGTATAACTTGGTTTTACCGAAATAAACATATGCAATGAGAAGAGTGAATTAGGCTCGATGTTTTAATTCCCAGCCAGGGTGCAGAAAGAATTTTATTAATTAATTATATAAAACGAATAACAACGTAACCACAAACTAATAATAAGACTTAATTAAGGAAGCAATTTCAGGAAGAATATATCAATGCTCATCGAAACAAAACTTAGGGATTTGTTCTCAAAACGTTCCAATTATGAATAAGTTTCACCACTTGATGACCTACGATATATTATTTGTTAGGGTCCTTCAAATAATGTCCACGTAATAAAGGTTTTTTATAGACCTAATGGAAATGTTAAAGCTTTACTTTATACGCATATTTTAAGCGACTTCAAGAAAACTTTCAACTTTCTGATTTTTCAATTACCATAACATTGGATCGTGATCAAAAAGAATAAAAAACAAACTTGGTTGATTAATTTTTTAAAAAGCATCATTTCAGTGCATAATATGATATGTTTAGCATAATATATAGTCATATACTCTTATATTACCACTTTTGGTTTGCTGTTTTTTTTATAACGTCTCTTCCGTTTTTTATAGTATATTTGTCTAATTTTTGTTTTTACAAATCCCTAAAATTCAACACAATTAATTTTTAGTGTTTTTCCAACACTTTCCCCTGCTTATCTGTCAGTAATAGTTAGATTCATAATAATAGAATAGTTTATGTGGAAGTTTCCCTCACTTAAGAACACACACATATACATATGTATACATATATATATATATATATATATAATATATATAAAAACACGTACGCACAAACATTTTTATTATATTATGAAAAGTTAATTGAGCATGAATAAAAACGTAAGTAAAATAATTCATCATTATGTGTGCACTCAGAGCGGGAAATACCCACTAACGCTCTTCAACGCAGTTGCCATAAAAAATAAAACTTAATTAGAAAATAAACAAACTGCCAACACAAATATTAAGCGTATTAATAACAGATAATATCTAACTTTAGGTACGTATGTAGTAGAGTTTACTTTCTATGCGGAGAATATAAAAAAAAAAATAGAAGCCTAATAACTTTGTTTTCTTTATTTTCTGTTTTTTCATCTCTTTTTCTCTAAAGCTTCGATGTTTTATAGTCTGAAGAATAGAGAGAAGTGCTTGAACAGCAACATACATTTTTTTTTTCCACGCATCATCATAATAATTAAATTGTGATTCTTGGCAATTTTCAAATTGTTCGAATAACTAATTTGCACGTATGTCAGAGTAGTTGTGTGCGCGTATGTGCGTGCATGCTTGGGCTATATTATATGCATGCGAATAACTAAACGGTTTTGCTTTGATTAGTAGCTAATTTTTTATGTTTTCCATGTTAGCATGTGGATGGATTCGTATTGTACCTATACATATATATGTACGTATATATATATATATACATATGTATATGTGTGTGTTTAGTATGTATGTTTACAATATTTGAATATGATAGATGTACTTGCACAGACATCTATGTACGTTTGTAGGTACATGCTGTCTAGGGGAAACCAGGAAGCCTCACATTAACTATTTAGACAGCTTTAAAACATAAGCGTTAAATAATGAAACACGTATAAATGATTGTCTTCTTGTTTGCGTTTTTTTTTTTCTGTTTGCCTTCTTGTTGGCTTTCTTGCATAAATCTGCAATTCATAATTCGTTTATGGCTGCGCATGCGCGCTTTTATACGCATCATGTGTGAAATTGTCCACACACACACACACACACACACACACACACACACAGATGTATAGATGTATACATATATATAACGTATATAAATATATATACATACCTAACATATATATATATATATATATATATATATATATATATATTCATGTCGAGCTCCTATTAACTCTTGAATTGCTTACAAAACTGACAGCTTGCCTAGCCATCAACTTTGTTGTTTGTTGGCATGATTGTTGCTATAATTTATTTTAGTTGAACTCATTTCTTTTTCTTTTTTTTTTTTAATAAAATGAATGGACTCATATATAATTAATAACTCAATTCGTGTGGAAGAACACAATAATGCGAAAACCATCAGTAAAGCAACGTTAACCTGTCAAATGCCACTTGTTTTAGTTTCATGTGGAAATATTTTGTCTTAAATGAAGTTTAAAAAGAAAAGTCCATTCAGTTTTTTCCTTCTTTCTCTCTCTCTCTCTCTCTCTCTCTCTCTCTCTCTCTCTCTTTCTCTCTTCAATTCAATGATATATTGCGTTGATGAAAGATAGCTTCTCTGTTATTGTTTTAATTGCTCTTGATCGGCTTTGTTGATAATATTAATAATTTTAATAGGTGGGTGTGTACAGCAGTCTCTCAGAAAACCGCTGGCCTATCAATCAAATGCAAGAGAGATTAAAAAACTATTATTATATATAGCGATAAACTTAGAAACAAGTTTGTTAAGAAATCCAGTATAACACTATAAAATGTGAACAATTTTGGAACTGATAAAGTGCGATGCACTTTCTCTACCTTCGAAACCGATTCTATTGGGTATGCTCCCATCATTTGATCCTGCGGCTGTTTGTCCATTTTTTTTGTTCGTCCTGCGCTCATATAATCCGCTCGTTGATTCATTGATCCGTTTGTCTGCAGTTGTTTTCACTCATTCATATGTTGTTAGTCGATGCATTTCTTTATCAATCTATACATATGCGTATCCATCACTGTATGTTCTCTATATGTCACTTATTTTTCTCTTTTCACTCGGCATCTATTAATCTTGCTTTGCAATCGCTTTCTGTAACATCAGCGCATTTATTCCAACAGTATTTTAAAATTTTACGAACTCTTACATTCAATTACCGTTAGAAAATATGCCTTGCTTTCATATTTTACAAATTTCTTTCTCTGAACCTATTTTTCAAGATTAAACTAATCAGCAATATATGCTGGGCGGTATGAAGTTTTTTGAAAATGGCACACGGAACATATTTGACGCTAAGACGGATCGTCGAAAAATTGGAGTGTATTACGTTTATCTAGTTATTTATAATTTCCGGAAATTCTGACTCGTTGTAGTCCTGCCCTCCTATTTCTACTTGAATGCTACATCGAGAAATATATGAAAACTACTACTAGTACTATTAAATCGATTTAGACTATGAAGTATACACTTGTCTCTGGGTTTGCATGGTAAGCAATTTACCCGAATACTGGTTCGATATAAAAGAGACAAACACAGAGATAATAATAAAAAGACATAATCTTCATAAAAACTTAATGAACACGCCCCATTTTTTTCCAATATAATCCTTATCTCTTTTATTCGATTTTAATGAACATATCCTTAAATTTTCTCTATCTCCTTTCGATTGATCTCCAGAATTTATAGATTAATTGAACATAGCCTTTCATTTTGCATGAATTTTGTGAACTCGTTTTATGCTGTTTCGTTTTGAACGGTTTTGCCAAGAACGTATCTGAACGGACAAGTATATATGTGATAATAAATATTCTCTTCATAGCTTGTTCACAAGACACACTAAACGCAATAGCAGATATAATAAGCTTTGTCAGGCCTACAAGCTTTGCACATGGACATTTTTCAAGGGTACTTAAATTAAAACTTGATCTTCTTTTAAATGCAATCGAATAATTCTCTTTTTACACGATAAATACATTCCCAAAAATTCGTGTAAAAAAAGATGGCAAAATAGTAGATTGTTTCCAGATCTAAGAAACCAACTGTAAACAGCTGTAAACAATAAATAACATTACAAATTTTTTATTGGAATTCACTTAAGAATTTAATGCGTGCTTACAGATTTTAATTCATTATATTATATATATGATAAAAAATAAATTGTACTTTGAAAAAACCAAACTGAATTGCGTAAAATGTAACGCGAAGCTACAATGCATACTTGTAAAGACTGAGAATGAAAAAAATTCGTAGAAATATCAAAAAAATTCATTAAAAACATTAAAACCAAATTTTTAACTCGCGTTAAATCTAATTTCGTGTAAATAAAATTCGTGTAAAAAACAGAATTAGGTGTGTATTCATTTTGTCGAATTGTGTGCAGTCCACCAGAGAATACTCCGAAGATCTAATAAAGCATTGATTAGAATCAAATTTTGAAGTGATGTAAGTATGTCCATCCGTGGGGTATATTCCTTTTGTCAAATCGTTTGAAACGTCCAGTATATAGGTACTTGGTCAGAGTCAAATTCTTAATCGATTTAAGCAGATTTGTGCGTTCGCCTGGTAGTATGTCCGTCGACATCAAGTTGAGCGGAAACATTGGAAATTCTCGGGCAAAGGTTGGTATTGAAAATGAGCGAAATCGGTCCGAGGACACGCCCCCACTATTACATAAACAGAGAATACCTTTGTGTTTCAAAACGAATAAAAAATTACTTTTTTGCTCATTACTCATAACCTATAGCAGATAAATGTACAAACATTTGAATACATATTCTATGGGCGATGCTGTAGTAGCTGTACAAAAATGGAAAAATTGACCTCGTCTACCCAATATAATAGTGTATTAAAATTTAATTTTTTTTTTCCATACCTTTATAGCATAACCACAAAAGGTACACAAATTCTTGGCCAGTTTCAAATTTTGACTGCATGTAAATACGTCGGTTCGTCTGTCTAACTCCCCATCTGCATAACTGTATACTAACTGGGGTAAACGGTCTCTCTTGTTTTTTTTGAAAACAGAGAAAAATCATAGTAAAGAGCATGAAAATTTAATTCTTTTATTTTATTTTGTCTTT